CCACCCCCAGTCCCCGTAGAACCAGGCCTGGCTCATCTACAACACTCTGGCTCCTTCTAGTGGTGACTGCCAGTCAAGCGGGCTGGGAAGCTGCCATCCTAGTCGGGCCCCAAGGAAACACAGGCAGAACCTGGGCTCCAGACTCCAGCCAGGTTCAAGTCTCAAGACCACGGCCACCTCTGCAGCTCTCTCCACTCAGGCATTTGTTTAAGGAGAACTTTACACCAAGCTGCTTTCCCCAAGCGCGCTTCCCCGTCCGGCACTCACGTATGGTGTGAAGATTTTAACCCATCGCGGCTTCTTCTCTCCCCGGGCATATTCGAAGCAGAAGGCCATTCCTTCCTCATCTGTATCCCATCGCTGCATCTCATCCCATTCAAATGCTATGACCTGGTTCTGAGCAACCAAGAACAAGAGCACAAGAGCGTTAAGACTGAGGATGCTGGGGAGCTCAGGGGGGTTGGTTCTGAACCAGTGGCGATGTCCGTGTCGCTGGGGGAAAAGGCTGACAGGGTAAGTCAGTGGGATGAAGGTGGGGACGAGTGTGGGTGCAGTGCCTATTCCACCCCGGTCACAACAGTCTCACTTCACTCCAGCACCACACCCCCAGCGAGTGAGTGAGCACCCCGGGACCCCACGGGGACCCGGCCCCTGGCCGCCGGACCTCACCTCCAGCTGTCCGTCTTCAGTGCAGGCGTGCAGTTTAAAGTGCGTGATGCTGATGGCTGTGATGACGTGCCCCTTCCTCCTGGAGTCACAGGCACAGTGGGGGAAGAGGATTTCATTGTAGCCCTCACACGTTCTTAGCATGTTGAGGTACTAGAGAACAAAAAGGAAGGGAACCTGATGTTACTGTGGAACTAAGCCACCACGGAGCTGACATGGCACCAGAACTCAGAGATTCCTCTCACCAGCAACCTGGGGACCCTGTCTCTGGTCTCAAGCCCAGTCCTAAGTTGGGACAGGAATCAGAGACGATCCTTTATCCCACTTCAATCCCCCCTTCTCTACTTAAAGAAAGATACACAAATAGAGCCAGAAGAGACACTGTAACCAGGACTCCTGGGGCTAGAAGGGAACTCACAGGCCACTTGGACCTCCACCTTCACTGTACCTCAGGGATGGGAATCAAAGCTATCCTTATAATTCAGGAAAGGGGGCTAAGGCTTCACCCCATCTCTTCTCCAGTCAAAAGTTACAATGAGCTCAGCGATGAGGACGAAGCTACCCCAAATCTCACACTCATATCATGTCTAAGCTGAAAGAGACTTTAAAAGCCGGTCATTTCACAGAAACAAGACTTGCTGAAGGCCACACAAGAGGCACAGCCAGGATCAGAAGCCCAGTTTAAATTCTGCGTCACAAATCAGCCTCACTACCCCCTGGGTCTCATGAAAAAGCAGCTGGCCCCAAATCAAGTGACATACATGACCCTCACAGGTACAATGCTACAATCAGAGGTCTGTGAACTACAGCGTCTACCTCAGCTCTGTGTCCTGTCTCCTCTATAATTACAGCTGGCCTCTCTCACTCAACTCAGTATTTTAAGTTGAGAGGAAAGAGTATAAGAAGACATATGGGAAGGAGAATAGAAAAAAAATAGGGAAAAGATGATTATAAAAAAAAAAAAAAAAAAGGCTCACGGACCTGAGCTGGTTCCCTCCCAGGGCCGGCCTGGGAACAAGCACGCAGCCGTGCGCCCCCAGCTGTGTGTCACACAGGAAGAGCAGGAATGTGAGGGAGTGCTGCAGGGCAGGCAAAGGCACAGCAGCCTAGTGATTTAACTAGAAGGGCAGGGACATGAGAGCACACTGGACAGCTGCCTGACCGAGAGAGAAGCAGGGACAGAGGCGACACGGACCCTAGGCCATGTATGGCTCTGGTCCCAATGAATGGCACCTAAGACCGTTGCTACTGCCACCAGGAGCCGCCTGGAAAGACTTAATTAAGGGCCCACGTGTAAAACAACAACAAAAAAGAATCCCACCACATGCTCCTTTCCCTACTTTGTATTTATTTCTGCTTAGGTAAAATAACAGCAACTTCAAAGGGGACCATTATACAAGTGTAACAAGAACACAGGGAGGAGGGCCCGTTCAGAGGTGCCACCATATTTCACTTGCATCATTTTTCTTCTCGTTTCCCCTTCCCTCCGTCATCCCACTCCATCCCCTTTGTCACATCCTTCCTGTAGCAGTGACAAACGCGCATGGACACTGCGTGGCCCTGCCGTTGGCACCAAGAGCAGCAAGACACCACGGCCACACTGTGGTACACCTGACAGTGACATACGTGTACTCACAGAAGAGAACTCTTCGGGCTTGTGACAAGAAGCAAAGACTGGCACAGGAGGCAACACAGAGGGGGGACCAGAGCCTGGGCTTGAACGCTGGCCCGCCACTTCCTGAGTGGGAGCAAGTTACCTGCACTCACAGAACCTACGTCACAGCCATCGGCAGGCATTCTGGGACTCGGCATAGTGGTCAGTGTGCAGCTGGGGACCCCATAAATGACAGCGTAAAAGAGAACTTGAAAGGCTCTGTTACCCGTGGCCAGAGGGCGCACCTATTTTCTCTCTCACGAAGGCCCGTGGAATGTCATATATGGAAATGACTTTTACAGACTCCAGGGGGAAAAAGCGCGTGAGTGAGCCGACCAGCGGCCGAAGCTGGAAGCTGTTGATGCTGGGCAATGGGCACAAGGGGCCTAACGCACTTACTGCTCTTTCAACTTCTTTATGTTTGAACATTTCTACAATAAAATGTTAGGAGAACAAGAAGAGCGCCCTGCAGCCAGGCCTCCAGCACCCCGTCCGCGGCACCCCCAGCCATCACCGGGAACTTGCCCCGTGCTCAGTCAGCAGCCAGTTCTGCTCAGAGATGCTCAAGGCCTCTGCAGAGGCCGGCGGGTCACGCAGGCTTGAGACTAGCTCTGCTCGCGCCCTGCAACAAACGGCTTACACAACAACACACCTGCCGAGGGCTCTTCTTTGAGAAGCACCACACTGTTCAAAACAGATCCTGCCATATTCGTCTGGAGTTTGACTATATAGATTTCTTTACACGAGAGAACTATGCAGACGAGGGAGGGATTAGGAAAAGCCATTGGAAGAGACGTGGAGCTCCGCTGATCTTGAACTCTCTTGGTGATCTGGTGTAAGTTACTCTACCTGGGGGCTTCCCCTCTCTGCCATCTGGAAACAGAGGACACTGCTGCCACCCTCTCGTCTCTGATGTAGAGAAAAACATATGCTTTGGAGCCAGACAGAAATGATTCAAATCCTAGTCTAACTTCTGATCTCAGACTCCACCCTGCTCTGCAAAGCGGGATGACACCTGCATGGTTGTTATAAGGAGGAAATGACAATGTACATACAGCGTGCAGAACAGCACCAAGCACACAGTATGTGCCCTCCTCCCCCTTGAATCAAAAAGCTGACTTATCCCTCCATATTCAGGAATGTAGTTCCTGAAAGCAAAGGAACTTCAGAGGACTTCCTAACGGCATAGGCTCCAAAAACAACCTGAGTGTAAACCAAGGGCTCCTGTGGCCCTGGATAAATGACAGCGGTAATGTTGCAACGGGGAAACCTCAGGTTTTCAGAGATTGTCAGGTCAGGTAGTTATTTCTCAGCTATAAGTGGGCATTTCTCCATTCCTGAGTTTGCACAAAGTGTAAAGAGAAGAAACATTGAAAGTCATATACATCCAAAATTTCTAGAGCAAGAGTGACTTTCTGTTTTCAAACAGATTTACGTAAGGGTGTAGCTATATACCTAAATTGCAAAATTATCCTGTCCATTTTCCTTTCATACTAAATATCAAGTACTTAAACACGTATCCTCATTTTCTCCCTGATACACACACCACGTAGATGACGGCCCTCATCAGGCCGGGAAGAGGAAACGTACAGCATGGGACATTCTGTGATTGTTCAATACTTAGCATGATAGGTAACTACAGAAACAGGGCAGTTATTAGCAGACTACAGTGCTTAACAGAGCAGAACACTTGGGCGAGTGGGCTGAGGTCCACTCTGGAGAACTCGCTGTTCTCTCAAACAACCTGCCGAGGGTCAACCCAGGTCTCAAACTGAAGCAAGGGCTTGTGAGGAACCTTAGAAGCCAACTCTGCCAACCCCTAGAGCAATGACTCTGAAGCACCTGGAGTTTCAGAATCACCAGAGCGCTTCTGTAAACAATTGTTACAGAAATTCCTACATCCCCCGAGATTCAGGCTTAGTAAATGTGAGGTGGGGTGCAGACAGCTGCACTGGGATTCCCACAGGTGAGCTGGGACCACACTCTGAGAAACACTGACTTTCACATTTACTGCCTTGTGTGAAATCACTGAAAGTTATGGTGAGAAACACTAACATAGAAATTTCTTATTTGTCAGCTCAACAACGGCAAACTCAGGCCACTCCAACATAAGGAAAACAGGAGTTCCAAATGTCTACTGTTTGTGTGAGAGTAAAAAAAAATGGAAGAGAAAAAAGACAAGACAATTCTTGGATGGTTGGATTTTCAACCATCCAAATTTGAGATTTAATCTACCTTTGTAAATAAGTAGAAAACAAAAACATTTTTGATCATTCTGGGTCCTACACACTATGGCAAAGATACGAGCTGTCCTCTGTATCAGGAGAACAAGGGGACTGAACACAGAGCTTATTTAGCTACCAAGAACTCTGGAATATTCTGTCAAGATTCTACTTGATAGCTGGCAATCTGAACATCCCACTTTATAGAAAAAAACTAGAACTGAGGAGCTTGTCGAATTTCTGAAGCTCTCACAGTGATGTGGCAACTAATTGTACTGACTTGACCTAATCTTAGGCCCGCCAACCATACCGAGCTGCTACAGAAAATGGCAGTTAAGACCTGCGGGCGCTGAAGGGTCCATCTGAGTTGGAAGTTTCTGTGTACTGACCATGACCATGACTAAGCTGATGTCTTTGAATACTAACACTTGAATTCGTGAAATTATACTTAAACAAATTTCAAACTTTGGTAGGATTTTCTTTAAAATCTGTAGTATCATGGGGCTAGTACACACTTGTCTGTTGGCACTAGGTTTTCAAGACAACAGAATTCCGTACATGTTTAAGCATATTTTACAGTCAATTCGAATGACCCATGTGGAAACATATCAGCATACCAATTGCACTCACATTCTCGACTGGGTGACTACAAGATACAGATTTGAGTCTGAAAATGATTCCACAAGAGATTCCGCTGCTTGTTCAATTCAGACTTTCTGTATCTTGCCACAGAATAGCCCAAACCTATTTGTGTCTCCAGCACCTTGTGCTGTGCCTGGCACACACTTGGTGCTCAACAAGTATAATAGTTTTGGCTGAATGCATACACAGAAGAGACTGTGTCCGGGTACTGCATGTGCAAATACCTACGACGTGTTCCGCCCGTCCTGGTGTTACCAGAGAGGCCCTTGTGAAATCACTTTGCTTCTGGTGGCTCTAGCACAGGCAGAGAATTACTGCAGAGGCTGATGGTCCTTCAGTATTGGGCTCTTTTCACCAAAAAGCTGAGAAAGTGTTGGTCAGAATCATGCAGTCAAATACGGAAGGCAATGCGAATGTCTCAAAGAACAGGTGGAGGCTGAGTTTTAAAATCCTGTCTCCCACATAGTAAAATTCCCTTAACCGAAATTCTGCAAGTTAATACACTTTTTCTATTTAAAATACTGTTTGTTGCCTATTTCAGCCTGTTGCTATGCACATTTGTACATGGTTCTCTGATCTTTGGCAATTTTCTAAGGGAAAGAGATTTCTTCCTTTTCATCATATAAGTGATAACGTAACTGTCCCAGCTAGACCTAAGATCACAGCTGAGTTTAGTGGCTGATTTGTGTATTCTTATTCCAATCCAATTAATTTAGATGGCTGAACATTCCCTCATAAGAAGTGCACAGAAGGTACAAAGAAATTCAAGTGATCTATAAGAATCATTACCGATGCAATTACTGCCTAGTGTGAAATCATGAAAAATTATAATTGGAAACATTTCAACTACATGTGAATTTGCCAAGGAAGAAATTTTAAAATGCTATGAGTGGAAGTTTGGTAAGTATTCTTTACACATTTTATTTCTGACAATTTCCATCCTTGTATTTATGGCAGATACAAACTGAAAACTGATTTTGAAACATTTAAGGACTATTCTAGGCAGCCCTCTCTAACAGAACTTCCTGTGATGATGAAAACGTTCTATCCTTGCCATCCAATACAGTAGCTACTAGTCACATGTGGCTACTAAACACCTGATATGTGGCTAGGGCATCTGAGGAAATGAATTTTAAATTTTATTTAATTTATAAATTTAAAATTAAATTTAAACAGCCATATGAGGCTAGTAGCTATTGAACAGTAAAGCTCCAGGATATCATACTAATCCAAAGCGTTAATAAATATTTAAGCAACTGTAGAGTCAAAGTTGCAAAAACAAATGATTTTGCAATTGCCAAATCACAACTAAAATAATTTCTAATGTTAAAAACCTAAATATCAATTCTTACAGAATCTTTATCATGTTAAATGTTTTGCATGTCTTTTATTTTAGAACTTTTTCTATAAAAAAATTCCATTTGGTGATTAATAATAAAGTTATATATCTATAGATAGCAAAGTAATCTCTTTGTGCGCTAAATGGAGGAACACAATGGCCTTTTTACACCCAGGTCTATATCCCCCTCTTTTTCTAAAATTAGTTAAGCCACTGACCAGGCTGCAACATCCTTCAAAAATGACTGGAACAACAGGTTTAAGAGATAAGAAGCAGCATTTTATAAAAAGATTATGGGGACATAAACCTACCATGACCATTTTTCTTTGTTCATACAGCTTCTGTAATTGGTAGGACTTTTCCTCTGCTTTGATGTAACCTTTCTTCACGTCATCGACAGCCTGTCACCAAAACAAAGGCAGGGAAGAAAGGAATGTAAAAATCATCATCAAGTTCCTTCTTGATAAAAACAGAGGCACAGGTTCATGTCAGAAGGACGCTTCCCACATGGACCATCATCGTCACCGGTGAACTCTGCCACAGGACACATTTGGGGGAATAAGCAGCATTTAAGGAGTGTCTGGTATGGGCTCAACGATGTTCTAGGCACATGAGGAATCCGGTTTCTCAGGTTAAGAGATTTCAATTCTGGTTCATTTATACAGGGGAAACAATCAGAGGACACTACCAGACAGTATCTAATACTGAATTGAAGGTAGCTGTGAAGCAGCAAAAGCGTGTGGTATATACAGACAGTCAGTGACACACGCGGTGGAACAGGAGAGCTTACTGATGGCTGCGGTCATCAAGGAAGCCTTGGTCGGAAGTCAGGAAACAGGAATGGGTTTGAGCTTAAATACACTCAGGAGACAGATCTGCCCAGTTTGAGTAAAAGGGTGCATGGTAGGGGACAATGGAAGATAGCGCTAGAGGGGCAGGTTAACAGATTAGGGAGGATCCCAAAAATGCCATCACAGGAATTGGAATTTAGACTTCATTCAGGACAGCAGGGAGCTAAAATAAGCAATACAATTTTCTTTTCTTTTTTTTTAAAAGAACGATTGATTTGTATGAGTGCCATATGAATTAAACTAAGGAGAGACTAAAATAAGGCAGACCGACGATGTTGTGGTATTTTAAGCACGAAATGAAACAAGACCTTAAACTAGGGTGGTAGCAATTGGAGGAGAGGAAGTGATAAACCTCAGACCATGAACAGCAAAAATCCCCAGTGGGATCTGATCCAGGCATAATGTGCTAATTCTAAACGAGCCCTGGTTCAGCTATATGAAATATGCACCCCTTTCCCAACCTCACTGCACCCCAAGAAAAAAATAAAATCTAATGGAAGGGGAAACTGATCATTGGGAGAAAAAAATAACAAATAGAATCATTTCTCCAGGGCACTGGCACTCAGAATCTAACCTCAGGGAGTTCCTGCAAGGACCACTCAGGAGGGGACAACGTGAACTGCCACCTTCCCTAAGGTAGCAATCGCCTTCCCTAAGGTAGCAATCGTTCCTTCTGGTCTTTTAAGGGAAAACAGTTGCATAACAGAATGAGTTCAGGATTGAAGTCAAAAGACCGGTTCACCTTCTAGGTCTGTCACCTACCAATGTGCACTTAGTGAGTCACGTAAGCCCTTAAAGTCTGTAAAACAGGAATGATACTCATCTCATAGGCAGACGACAAAACGAGACAACAGATGTTAAGAGTTTTGGAAAGTATAGATAAATGGTTGTTATTGCATCATTACTATTGGCATCATTTAGCTGTTAACGTCCTGCCTAGGACTGCCCACTCCTCCCCAGTCCAGGCCGAACAAACAAGGGCTCGTTTGGCAGAGGCTCCTATGTGGAGGGCATGCACAGTAGGAACGGCCACACAATGACCTGGGAACCTGAACACTTCGTTATTTATTTATTTAAAGATTTTTATTGGGGAATTGGGGGAAGGGGAACAGACAAGTTGCTGTCCTTTTGTTCTTCAGTCTAGTTGTGGAGGACGTTGCTTGGAGGACGTTGCTTCACTGGCCCAAGTTGGCACCATCATTGCGCTCTTCCCGGGCGAGGCAGATCAGTCGCCGGCTTCTGGACGGCCGCTCACTGCGGCTGCTGGCCGCTCACGGTGGCTGCTGGCCGCTCACGCTGGCTGCTGGCTACACACGGTAGCCCATGGCAACCCACTGCAACAGGGGCTGCAGCCTACGCCGTCACCAGCGACTCACGGCAGCCCAGCTCCAGGTTGAGCTGTTGTTCAGCATCTTAGCTGTGGAGGGCAGTGTCACTGGCCCTCATATGTGGGATCCGAACCGGGGCCCTCTAGCATCCCAAGCCAGCTCTTAACCAATGCACCACTCTGCCGGCCCAACACTTCTTATTTATCATCAAAAGGCTGGGCTGCTCCAGACCAAATTTAAACCAATTACTGGAAAGCCGGGAGAGAAGAGAGAAAACAAACAAACAAATACTGGTCTATGTATTCAGTTTCCTATGTAACAAAGCGTTATTTAGTGAAGGGAAAAGGATTTTCTGATGACCGAATAAAAATGCTGTATTTGTGTTGTTCGTGTCCCCAATACTTAGATCGGCTTTGATTCTGAATGGCACTTAAATATTTGATGAACATGTCCCCAGGGCAGAGGTGGGTCAGAGTGAGCTTCTATCCAGCAACTCTAAGAGAGCTACTGGGGCAGTAAAATCGCTCTCTCTTCTCCGCTCTCATTTCTAATCAAGATTATACTGCTTGACTGGCCCTGAGTGGAAAACATAAATATCGTCATAGCAGAGTCCTCTTTTTCTTAATTAAAATTGTTTTTATTAAAGTAAAAGATGTAGTTTTAAAAAATTACAAGTGTTACCAAAAGGCTCCTAATAAAAACAGCAGTCTCCTGATCCCATAGCCTCATTCCACAGAAGCAAGCGCTTTAAAGCACTTGAAGCAGTTTCTTATGATATATTCCTCCATAATTGGTGTTTACACCAGTAATTCCTAACTTAACCGCTTTTAGACAATGTTGACTTCCTGTGTTAAAAATATTAAGTTTTAGCTTTCTTATACCAGCCGAACACTCCTACCTCCACCCTCTTCCTCTAGCCTCTTAATAAAAATTAAATCAATATTTATTGATTATTGTAATCAGTACAAGCATGTGAACACTGTTCACAGTTAACTCAAGTACTATACGATGACTTCCTTCCTTCCTTCCTTCCTTCCTTCCTCCTTCCTTCCTTTCTTTTTAGCTGAGCCATCCTGCCACCTGTTGGCAGCTCAGTGGCCAGCTCAGCTCAGCTCGGGCTGGACTTGAACCGCTGTTGCTCAGAGCTCAAACCCTTGAGCGAGCTCTTAACCAACTGAGCCACTCGGCTGGCCCTGACTTCCTTTCTTGTATTAGTTTTTTTACTGCCTTGTGTTTTTTGTTTGTAACTTCCCATGTGACTCTCACCAATTCTTCCACAATAGCCAAACACCAAATTCCTTTCATTTTATTCAAACATTCACTCTGTAAAAACTGTTGACCGTTCTCATCTGCTGTCATTTCCCCTCCTATTCTTTGTTCTTGCAGGTTTCTGAAATTTCTATTACTAGTATTTTAGTGAGCCTTCAGGAAGGAGCAGATTAAATGTGTGTTCAGTCTGCCAGGTTTAGCCAGAATTTAAATATATCCTAGTAAGAATTTCAACCTTATTAATTTCAAGGAAAAAGCTTATTATCATCAGTATCTAATATTTCTTCAATTCTAAGGTGCACATTTTTTTACATCTCTAAAATTGGAATGCATCTTACAATCAATTATGTGTCAGTTTAACTAGTAGCTCTTTTCTCTTTCTTAGCAGTACATAAAATAGTGCATCTTACAATGGACGGCATCTTGGAATTGATGAAATATATTAGCTAGTCCCACCATCACAATACAATACACACATAACTAAAATTAAGGGGGAAAAAATTTAATATTATTTTCCAAATGGCCCAATTGTTATAGTCAATCAAGAAATCATTTGAGCCCTCCAGCCCTGTTGGGAATGTAAAATGGTGCAGCTGCTATGGAAAACAGTATGGTGGTTCCTCAAAAAATTATAAATAGGGGCCAGCCGAGTGGCTCAGTTGGTTAAGAGCTTGCTCAAGAGTGTGACCTCTGCGCAACAGGGTCGCTGGTTCAATTCCCAGCCCAAGCTGAGCTGCTGCTGAGCTGCCAACAGGTGGCAGGATGGCTCAGCTAAAAAAAAAAATTATAAATAGAACTACCATGTGATCCAGCAATCCCAATTCTGAGTATATTAAAAGCAGGATTTTGAAGAGATATTTACACTCTCATGTTCATAACAGCATTATTCATAATAGCCAAAAGGTAGAAGAAACCCAAATGTCCATCCACAGATGACTAGATAAACAAAATGTGATGTACACATACAATGGAATACTATCATTTTGCCTTAAAAAGGAAGGAAATCCTGTCATATGCTACCGCATGGGTGAGCCTTGAGGACATTATGCTAAGTAAAATAAGCCAGTCACAAAAGGACAAATACCATGTGATTCTATTTACTTGATCATTACAGAGCTCAGCAAAGCTGTGCTAAGGATTTACCCAATGCAGGGCGTGGACTTGAACCAGACATTCTGACTCCTAGCTAATGATTCTTCCACTCCACAAATAAAAGGAAAAATGTTCCATTCACAATTGTAATAAAAATATAAAATACCTGGAAATTAGTTTAAGGGGGCGTACTGAAACATAAAACTACAGAACTTTATTTGGGGAAACAAAAGAGGAGCTGAATAAAATAGAAACATTATGCATTTTGTTGAGAATTTTATATTTAATAAAAATGGTGGTTAATCTTCAGTTAAACTGTAAATTTAACAAACATCCAATTAGAATAGTAATAGGATACTGTACAGTATTATCAAATGAGTTAAAAATTATTTTTAAAATAATTTTAAAATAATTTAAAATAATTTAAAATTTAAAATAATTTTTAAAACAAAATGTTTAATAGGAAGTAAAAAGTAAAGATAGTATTCATTGTATGGCTCTGCTCTAAATCCATGATTTATAGTCATAATAATATAAACACTAAATATTGATCTAACAAATATTATAATTTGCCTGTATTAAGAAGATGGGAGAGGGCTGGCCGAGTGGTGCGTTGGTTAGGAGTTCATTTGGGACGCCAGCTCTGAGCAGCAGGGCCCCGGTTTGGATCCCATATGAGGGCCAGTGACGCTGCCCTCTACAGCTAGGATGGTCTATGACAGTTCAACCTGGAGCTGGGCTGCCGTGAGTCGCTGGCGACGGCGTAGGCTGCAGTGGACTGCCGTAAGCTACCGCGAGTGGCTGGCAGCCTGTGTGAGTGGCTGGCAACCGGCGTGAGCTGCCAAGAGTTGTCGTGAGTGGCCGTCCAGTGGCTGGCAACCGATCTGCCTCACCCGGGAGGAGCGCAATGATAATACCAACATGGGCCAGTGAAGCAACGTCCTCCACAACTAGACTGAAGAACAAAAGGACAGCAACTTGTCTGTTCCCCTCCCCCAATTCCTCAATAAAATCTTTAAAAAAAAAAAAAAAAAGGAAGATGGGAGAGATGAAAGGGTATGAGTATGAGTGGGAATGGGCATTGAAATGGAGCCAAAGTCTCATCTTCTGTGGTGGGAAGTGAACAGATATTGCCCGAATCTCAAAATCAAGTAGGAGCAATATAAACAAGTTGTAATAAGAGACATGGAAGTAAATATAAAACGAAATAAAACAAAAAAACACAGCTAAAAGAGGTGAAATTGGTTGTGTAAGGGGGGAGGTGAAGATAAGTGGGGGCAACTAATATGTTTCATAATAACCTGTAAACAAATATTTGAATTCTATGTATGTATGGTTTTGATGAAAGTTTTCTGAAAAGATACATAGCCATAATGCTCATTTTCTGTTGTTTAAAAAAATAATAAATATATTTTAAGCTCTAGGACATCATCACTTCTTAAACTTATTTATCTTTTGTGAAATGAGATAGAACATTTTACAAATTTAACTAAAACCCAGGAGGCAAAGCAGGTTACCCAAGGATTCACACTGAATTGGCAAATAACCTACTCTATATAAAGAGAAAAAGAAATCAGGCCTTTCCAGGAAGATCAATTCACCCACCTGATGAAAGAAGTAGGTAACAGCAAGGTCATTGTCATTTAAGAGGATTTCTTCTTCTGTCGTAAAAAGCCACTTTCGAATGGTCAGGCAGGTGCCTGGCACAGCTGATGTGTAATTCTGGACGTACAGTTTATGAGGAAATTCATTAGGTGCCAACTTACGTACTGAAGAGAAGACAAAAGAAAGAAAGCTGGAGTGAAAAGCCATGTAAGGAATTTTCCTAGTGTAAACTGTAGGTAACGTGTAAACCAGCAGGTCACGAATGCAGGTTGTCGCTAACCAGAACATCTGCGTAGGTCCATCAAGGAGCTCTGCCATGGGACCACAAAATCACCATTTGGCTAGCCAAATCCATCCCTTCTAACTAGAACTGTGGCCAGTTGGGTCTCAAACTGACTGAACTCTTATCACCTGAATGACAGCACCTACTACAAACTCAAAACATCTGATCCAGGCCGGCCGAGTGGCGCATTGATTAGGAGTTGGCTTGGGACACCAGCTCTGGGCAGCAGGGCCCCAGTTCGGATCCCACATGAGGGCCAGTGACACTGCGCCTTCTACAGCTAAGATGGTGAACAACAGCTCAACCTGGAGCTGGGCTGCCGTGAGTCACCGGCAAAGGCGTAGGCTGCAGTGGAGCTGGCCAACAGTGGGTGTGAGCTTTCCTGAGCTGCCGTGAGCAGCTGTCCAATGGCCGGCGAGCAACTGCCTCACCCAGGAAGAGCACAATGATAATACCAACATGGGCCAGTGAAGCAACTCCCTCCACAACTAGACTGAAGAACAAAAGGAGAGCAACTTGTCTGTTCCTCTTCCCCGGTTCCCCTCCTCCAATTCCCCAACAAAATCTTAAAAAAAAATCTGATCCATTTTCTGGTAAGTGACAGCGATGTCCACTGAGGTTCTTTTTTTTTTTTTTTTTTTTTTTCTCCAGCCTACGCCGTTGCTGGCGACTCACGGTAGCCTAGCTCCAGGTTGAGCTGCTGTTCAGCATCTTAGCTGTAGAGGGCAGTGTCACTGGCCCTCATATGTGGGATCCGGACCGGGGCCCTCTGGTGTCCCAAACCAGTTCTTAACCATCGTGCCACTCAGCCGGCCCCACTGAGGTTCTTTAAAGCAAGTCTCTCCTCTTACCCAGCTACGGGGCATTCAGAGTCCCTCCTCATGTGGCAATTTTCGATGAACTGCTTTTATTGTTAAGAGTTGAAAGGCTCTCCCGCACCCACCCCCCAATCTAAGACATTCATTAAATTGAAAAAGGTCTTCTGAGTATCGTTACTTCCTCTTCTAACAATGCACAAACAGAATAAAACACTACCACTTTTAATTTCCATATTGCTTTCTTTTCTCGATGTTTACTTGGCTTTACAATACCACAAAAGATAGTATTTCCCATTTTGTTTATTAAGTAAAGCTTAGAAAAATAGGTAAAATAAGAATCCAAGTATCCTGGTTACCTAGCAATCCTTTGTGACATTTATATGCGCCATTTGTGACATTTATATGTGAAGAATAGGGAGGTGGCTGCTTCAAGGGGAATCCCAAGTTGTTCTATCTGACCTGGGATGGCACGGCAACCCCAATGAACCAAATCTCCCTCTTTCCGGCATAAGGAAGGCCTGAGAAATCAATATTATGTCATTTCTGGCCTTGGCCCTGTGTATAAGTATGACGTGGAAAGGACCCATGAACCGTAGGAAATCTATGTTACTCAGAGCAAGCACTTAGACTTCCTCCCCTCTGTGGTCTTAACGAACCAATGTGACCACCATCCCTAGCTGTTCCAAAATAGTATGTAAGAGAAGCCTCCTGTCACCATGCAATAAAATTTCCTAGAAAGAGAATGTCTATTTACAAAGAAACTTAAAGAAATGCATTAAAGCAATGGCTTTTAAGCAATCTATCTCTTTCTACCTCCTAAAACAAAAAGCTGTTCTTGGCTTCCACTTAGGATGGAGGAGTAGGTAAATACTCTGCTCGCCTCCTCCCACGACCACTTCAAAATTACAACTAAACTCAGAACAATCATCACTGAGAACCCCCTGAAGTCTAGCTGAACAACTAAGGACATACAGAAGAAGCCACATGGGGACTGGTAGGAGGGGCGGAGACACTGAAGGTACAACATAAAGTGTACCAGTATTCACATCAGAGGAATACCACACCTATGTGTTGACTGTTAAAAATCAGGAGGGATAGCTCAGCTGTGGAGGTCCCCCCTGAGGAGCAAGGCATCCCAACCCCACATGAGGCTGCTCCCCAGCCCAGGGTTCCAGTGCTGGCAAGAGAAATCCCCACAACTTCTGGCTGTGAAAACTAGTGGGGTGGTGGCTGAGTGAGATGGAAGGCGGCTGCACTCCCAGGCACTCGTCTTACAGGGCTCGTGCACGGACTTTCTCACTGACAGGCTCACTCGCTCTGAATTCCAGTGTAGGAGCAGCAGCTTGCAAGGTGCCAGGAACATACTGGGAGGAACTGAATTGTCTGGCATCAGGGTGAGAGCTGGAGGGGCAGCTTTGTCTCAGACAGAAGTGCTGGCAGAAGCACTGTTCCTTTGTTAAGCTCTCCCCACTCCTGGTGTACACATGCAGGCGGGCGCTATGTCTGAGTCTCCATGAACCTGGCTGACGGTTTTTCACCCCACCCTGGTGATTCCCTGAGACCCCACCCCACCCAGCTTGCGAGCCCACCCAAGCCACTTCCAGTAGCTTTTCCATACAAACAGCCTGTCTTGGCTCATGCTGCAGACTTTCCTAAAATCTCTTAAAGGTTCACTAACACCAAACAAGCAGCATCTGGCATCAGCATGCCTCATTCCTCTTGCTGAGCAGCCCCAAGCCTGGCACTAGCAGCAGCCAGCCTCAGTTCACAGCGCAGCCTCTTCCAGGACCTCCAAGCCCAGCTCAGTGGGCAACCATCTGCAGATCACTTTGTAGCTCATACCAAGTGGCTGACCTTGGCCTGCACTGAAGCCCTTCTACCCCAAGAGGCCCCAGAATGAACATACCTGGTGCCCAGCCTCAGACCACACCACAGCACCACCCAACCACCTCCACAAATGACACACCCAAAGGGTAGACTCGGCAGGCACCAGAGTCCACTAAAGTGAATCCTGCCCCATAGGGTCAGCCCCTGCACAGCAGCTCCTCCACTGTAGTCACGACCAGTCCTCACAATCAATCAGCCTGAAGGTAAATCCCTCCCACTGACGTGCCAACAGCAACCAAAGCTCAACTACAACAGGAGGGTACACAAAACGCACACAAGAGAAACACCTGCAGAACCTGGCTCAGGTGATCAAAGAGACTGCACCACTGGGCCCCACAGGACACCTACTACATAAGGTCACTCTACCAAGACCAGGAGACATAGCAGCTTTACCTAATACATAGAAACTAACGCAGGAAGGCAGCCAAAATGAGGAGACAAAGAAACAAGTCCCAAATAAAAAAACAGAACAAAGCTCCAGAAAAAGAACTAAACAAAAATAGAGACAAGCAATCTACCAGATGCAGAGTTCAAAACACTAGTTATAACAATGCTCAATGATCTCAGTGAGAATGTCAACAAATAGGAAACATAAAAATGGAGATAGAAAATATAAAAAAGAAACAACCAGTCAGAAATGAAGAACACTGTAAATGAAATGAAGACTACACTAGAGGGAATCAACAGTAGATTAGATGAAGCAGAGGATCAAATCAGCGATTTGGAAAATAAAGTAGCAGAAAATACCCAATTGGACCAGCAAAAAGAAAACAGAATCCAAAAAAATGAGGATAGTTTAAAGGGCCTCTGGGACAACATAAAGTGTACGCACATCAGCGTCACAGGGGAACCAGAAGCAAGGGCTTGAAAACCTATTAGAAGAAATAATGATGGAAAACTTCCCTAACCTGGAGAAGGAAATAGACATACAAGCACTGGAAGCACAGAGTCCCAAACAAGATAAACCCAAAGAGGCCCTAGGCTAAGACACATCATAATTAAAATGCCAAAGCTTAAAGACAAAGAGAGAATCATAAAAGCAGCAAGAGAAAAGCAGTTAGTTACTTACAAGGGAGCTCCCATAAGACTGTCAGCTGATTTCTCAACAGACACTTTGCAGGCAAGAAGGGAGTGGCAGGAAATATTCAAAGTGATGAAAAGCAAGGACCTACAACCAAGATTGCTCTACCCAGCAAAGCTATCATTTAGAATCAAAGGGACAGATAAAGAGCTTCCCAGACCAAAAAAAAAGCTAAAGGAGTTCATCACCACCAAATCAGCATGACAAGAAATGTTAAAGGGACTTCTTTAAAAAGAAGAAAATAAAAGATAAAAAATATTAATAATAAAATGGCAGTAATTACATATCTATCAACAATTTCTTTAAATGTAAATTGATTAAATGCTCCAATAAAAAGACATAGGGTGGCTGAATGGATAAGAAAACAAGACCCAAGTGCTCAGCGATAGATGATTGGCTGAAGATGTGGTACATATATACAATGGAATATTACTCAGCCATAAAAAAGAAAGAAATCTTTCCATTTGTGACAACATGGATGGACCTAGAGGGTATAATGCTAAGTGAAATAAATCAGACAAAGAAAGATAAGTACCATATGATTTCACATGTGGAATCTAAGAAACAAAATAAATGAACAAACAAAACAGAAATAAACTCATAGATACAGAGAACAAACTAAAGGTTGCCAGGTGGGAGGGGTGTTGCGGGGCTGGGTGAGAAAGGGGAAGGGGCTAAGGAGTACAAATTGGCAGTTACAAAACAGTTACAGGGACGTAAAGTATAGCATAGTGAATACAGTCAATGATATTATAATAATTATGGATGGTGTCAGATGGGCACTAGATTTATCAGGGTGATCACTTTGTTAAGTTACATAAATATCTCATCACAATGTTGTACATCTAGAACTAATATAATATTATACGTCAACTGTAACCGACAAATAAAAAAGTATCTTTAAAAAAGCTATTCTTAAAAATCTACAAAAAGCATAAAGTACATTAAAACAAGTTGTGGCTAATTAGAACACCTCTTCTTTTTAAGGGTGTTTCACTGGAATGTATGAATTTTGAACCTCTGATAAAAGACCCTCCTGAAAGCATCTGCTTCAGCGTTGGGTGCTAATAATTTACAAAGGAGGAAAAAGGATCAGCAGTAATCAGATACCCTGGACTCGGGCTTCATGGGACTCGCCCTGTCTGCTTGTTGGAGACCATCCTGATGAGTGGGATCTCCCCTCATCTGCCAGCTCTTCTCTAGGCAAACAGTTTCAGTCTGACAGCCTCTGGGAACTTCAGTCTGACAATATTAGAATAAAATACCTCCCAATGTAACTTAATATTAGCCACTGGCACTTACCAAAGGAATGATTGATCACTTCAAATAAGGCAAAGTAATTCACTGTCGTACTGTCCATGCCGACCTTTGCTGCAATAGCCTGAAGTGTAAACAGGATAGGTTAGTTGGTTTCAGGGAAACAATCCGACAATGCTGTGAGAGAAGGCAGCTGTACGCATGTGGAGGGGCAAGGGACGGAAGGAGGGTCTGCCATCTGCCATCTTGGTTTCACATGAACTAAATTTGTGGTCCATGGCTATTTTACTTTGTATGTATGTGCACAGAGACACACATGCATACGTATGTATGAAATGAAAGGGAAAAATACCTGTATGTGATCCAAAAACCTATGATCTCTAAATATGAGTTTCTCCCCTCCAATTCAAGCAGATAATAGTCTCTTCTTAAATATCAGCTTTCCTCTCTGAAATATGACTTCATTCTACAAGGGCCTTTTTAAAAAGCACTTACAAGAAATGTACTTGATAACACCAGATCTTAAGAAGAAAGTCGATTCTTAAACATCCAGTCTTGTACATCCCGCCTACATTTAATATAGGCTATTAACACACAAGATCTGTGTCTCAGGTTCTTGAGGTTCCAATACTTTTTATCAATTTTGTTCATGTTTTACAATATAGTCTTGTTTATTTTTCAGATGATCCATGTCGCAGGCTAGGGACCGCCTTTTCCTAAGAATCACCATCAATATCCACATGGAAATGGCAAAATGTTGGGACAGCAGAGGCATTTTAAACAAGTATCAGTCCTTTTCTCTAGGAACTAAGGTCCCAACATGACAAATAAAAAGAAACTGAAAGAGTCCACATGCAAATAAATGAAAACTTGAAATTACATACAAATAACAACAAAACGTAAAGCAAAAAAACACAAACTAGTAGAACCAGCATTCCTCTTCAATCCCCATATACATAAAGTGTTAAGTGAAGAGGATGAAATCGTTGAATATTAGCGTCTTACTAAGCCAAACACAATTATATCCTTCTTCCCCTATCTGCTCACACATCAGACCTACGTTCACCCCTGACAGGAGGTGGGAACTGGAATTACTGTTACGATTACTAAGTTACTATTCTTTTTTTTTTTTTTTTTTAAGATTTTTATTGGGGAATTTGGGGGATAGGAACAGTGCTGGGGAATTGGGG